ACTTGAGCTTAGTGTATGGTGATAGACCTAGGTCAAGTTTTAGTTTTCGGCATGTAGAGAGCCAGTTTTTCCAGCACCATTTGTTAAAGAGGCTATCTTTCTTCCACTGAGAAACTGTTTCGCCCCTTTGACAAAGATAAGATGGCTGTGTTTGCAGGGACTTCAGCGTCTTCCAATCTATTCCATTGATCCTCAGGTCTATTTCGTTGCCAGTACCATGCTGATTTTATCATAATAGCCTTGTAGTATAATTTCAAGTCAGGAATTGTAATGCCTCTTGCCTTGTCTTTGTTGCCCAGGATTGCCTTTGCTACTCTAGGTCTTTTCTGGTTGCAAGTAAATTTTAGGAACAATTTCTCTAGGTCTGGGAGGTATGTTGGTGGTAGTTTGATAGGCATTCATTAAATGTGTACAGCAATTTTGGGAGTATGGCCATCTTCACAATGTTGGTTCTTCCTACCCAGGAGCATGGAATATCTTTCCATTTTCTGAATCCTCTACGATCTCTTTTTTTGGAGTACTGTAATTTTGCTTGAAAAGATCTTTGACTTCTTTACTTAGATGAATTCCAAGGTATTTCATTTTCCTCAATGCTACTGTAAAAGGTATTATTTCTATAATTTCCCTCTCATTGTGTTCGTTATCAGTGTAGAGGAATGCTACTGACTTTTGGGTATTGACTTTGTATTCTGCTATGCTACTGAATTTCTTTATTAATTCTAGTAGCTTCTTGGAGTTTTTTAGGTCTTCCAAGTAAAGTATAAGGTCACCTGCAAATAATAATTTAACTTTTTTACCTATTCTTATTCCTTTTAATTCTTTCTCTTGTCTAATGGCTCTAGCTAATGATTCCAGAACTACATTGAATAGGGGTGGTGATAGAGGACTTCCTTGTACCAGATTTAAGAGTAAAAGATTTTAGTTTTTCCCCAATTAGAATTATGTTAGCCATTGGGTTGTCATAAATGGCTTTTACCAGACTGAAGTAGAAGCCAGCCATCTATTCCAATTTTCTGTAGGACTTTGAACATGAATGAGTGTTGGACTTTGTCAAAAGCCTTTTCTGCATCAATGGAGATGATCATGTGGTTTTTAAGCTTTTGCACTATTGATATTGTGTATTACATGTAAAATTTTTGAACTATCCTTGCAATCCTACCTGGTCATGGTGTATGATCATCTCGATTTGGTGTATTCTATTTGTTAGGATGTTATTGAGGATTTTTGCATCTATGATCATGAGGGAGATTGGCCTGTAGTTCTTTTTCTTAGTTGCGTTTTTCCCTCTTTTTGGTATCTACATACTACTTGCCTCCAGGAATGATTTTGGGGCACTGCTTCGTTTTCAATTTCATTGAGTTTGAGGAGTATAGGGACTACATCTTCTATAAATGTCTTGTAGAATTCAGCTGTGAATCCATCTGGACTTTGACTTTTGTCGGTAGGTTTTTATGTTTTATTTTTTATTTTATTACATCTTGTATTTCACTGGCTGCTATTGGGCATTGAGAGTGGTTATTTCTTGTCAATTCAGTTGTGGTAATCTGTACCTTTCTAGGAATCTGTCCACTTCTTCTGTGTCTTCTATTCTGTGAGAGTAAAGATTCTCAAAGTAGCTACTGATAATCCTCTGAATTTTCACAGGGCCTGTGGTAATTACCTCCTTTTCATTCCTTATTGTTTGTATTTGAATTTTTTCTTTCCTCTGTTTGATGAGGTTAGCTAGGGGCTTACCGATTTTATTTAATCTTTCAAAGAACCAGTTTTTTGTTTCATTTATTCTTTGAACTGTTTTCTTCATCTCAATTGAATTAATTTCTGCTCTAATCTTTATGATTTCTTCCCATCTTTGGGCTCTTGGTTTGGTTTGCTCTTCCTTTTCTAGTTGTTGAAGGTGCAGCATTAGGGTACTTATTTGTTCCCGTTCTGTTTTCCTAATGTGTGAGTTCACAGTTATGAATTTCCCTCTGAGAATGGCTTTCATCATATCCCACAAATTCCGGTAAGTTGTGCTTGAATTTTCATTGAATTGTAGATATTGTTGAATTTCTAGTTTAATTTCATCTGTGACCCATTGGTTGCTGAGTAGGGTTTTAATTTCCATGTATTGAGGGTTTTTTTCTGGTTTCTTTTGTCACTTATTTCCAGTTTCATTGCACTGCGGTCAGATAATATGCATGGGATAATTTCTGTTTTCTTGCATATACTTAAGCATGACCTATGGACCAGTATGTGGTCTATTTTAGAAAATGACCCATGTGCAGCTGAGAAAAATGTGTATTCAACTGTGTTTGGGTGGAACACTCTGTATATGTCCACCAAGTCCATTTGTTTCAAGCTCTGGTTCAGTTCTGTTATTTCTTTGCTGAGTTTTTGTCTGGTTGACCTATCTTTGTGCGATAAGGGGGTGTTAAGGTCTCCTGTTAAAATTGTGGTATTGGATATTAGATTTTTCATGTCCACTAAGATTTGCTTTATATACTTGGGTGCTCCTGTGTTTAGTGCTTATATAGTTATGAGTGTTACCTCTTCCTGTTGAATTTTTCCCCTAACCAGTATATAGTGGCCTTTTTTATTTCACTTGATCATTGTTGGTTTCAAGTTGAGACTATATGAGAATAGGATTGCTACCCCTGCTTTTTTCTGAGGTGCTGGGGTGTGTAGTATTGTTTTCCATCCTTTGACTTTGAGCCTATGAATGTCTTTAGGAGTTAAATGTGTTTCTTGTATACAGCATATTGTTGGATTTTGTTTCCTAATCCACTGTGCCAGTCTATTTCTCTTAATTGGTGAATTGAGTCCATTTACATTGATGGTTATAATTGAGATGCACTGACTTACGATTGACATGTTATTTACCTCTTGTCGTTTACTCCTTTTTCTCCTGTGTTTAATTGTTTGTCATATTTAGTTGGTTGCTTCTGATCTCATTCATGGAGTGCTGATCATTTTGGACCCCCTCTAGAACATCTTTTAGGAGCCTGTGTAGGATTGGCTTTGTCATCATGAAATTCTTTAGTTGTTCTTTGTCATAGAAGTACTTCACTTCTCCATCAAACTTGAAAGAGAGTTTTGCAGGGTATAGTAGTCTGCACTGGAATTTGAAGTACTCTGCTCCATGATCCTCCTGCCTTCATGGTTTGTGAAGAGAAGTCAGCCATGATTCTGATGGGCTTTCCTTTGAATGTGATCTGCTTCTTTTCTCTAGCGGCTTTCAGTATATTATTCTTGAGTTTCTGGTATCTTGACTATCATAGGTCTCAGTGTGTTTTTAATTGGGTTGAGGTTACCTGGTGTTCTATATGCTTCAGTTACCTGAACGTCAGATTGATTTCTCATATTTGGGAAGTTTTCTGCTATTACTTCTGCCCTTATTTTTTTAATGTCATTTGTATTGACTTCTTTTTTCTCATTGGTACCTATTAGTCTGACATTGTTCATGTTTGCATTGTCTTGCAGGTGATGAATTATTTTTTCCTGCATCTAGTTGTTTTTAAGAGATCTTTTCTTACCTTTTCACTAGCTGCACCAGAGTCTTCAAGACCTGAAACTGTCTTCACTTTCACTTAAGTGGTTTTGCAAGCTCGTGATTGAGATTTTAAGTTCCTCTATATCTCTTTGTTGACTCTGCTTCATGCGATCTATTTCTTTCCTGTATTGCTCAGTCAAGGAATCCATCATTTTTCTAATCTCTATTTTTTTTCAATCAATGTCTTCTTTAGAAGCAGTTATTAGTTCTTTTACTGTAGTGTTTTTTTCCAGATTGGGTTTCCTGTGTATGTTTCTGTAGTTGATTCTTCTTTTCAGATGGTATGAGTTCAAAAATTCTTTTTTTATTTCAGAAAAGAATTCCGCTCTGAGTTCCTCTATAACTTTCTGCTGTTGCTTATTATCAATGCTATTAATTCATACATTTGAGCTGAGCTAGTGGAAAAGAATTCCGCTCTAAGTTCCTCTATAACTCTTTGCTGTTGCTTATTTACTATCGACACTATTAATTCGTACATTTGAGCTGAGCTAGTATCCTCTGTACTTGTTCTGTGTTGGAACTGGGTTCCCTTCATATGTTTCTGCATTTGATTCTTTACTGCAGATGTTATTAATTCAGGGATTTCTTTTTTGTTTCCAATCTGAGTTCCTCTATACCTTTCTGCAGTTGTTTATTTCAGAAGCTGTTGATTCATTGATTTCAGCTGTGTGATTCCCAATTTGTTCTGTGTTAGTGTCCTCTGCAGTTGTTACAGGTGGGTTTGGGGTCTGAGATTGCATTTTGCTCCTTTTCGATGACATTTTTGTGTAGCACTGTCTTCTGACCCTTGTTGTAGAACTTTGGTGAAGTTATAACCTGAGCACCTACTGAAATTCAGGTGTAGATCTACAAAGTTTGGATTTTTCCAGCTGTGCCTGGCTTGGGTCTGGCTGCTGTGCTCAGCTCCTTCCTGCTGCCGCCCTTGGGAGTGAACCTGTTTTGCCCCTGTTGGCAAGATGTTCTGCTCCTGGAACTGGGTGGTTCTGGGTGGTTCTATCCCCTACTCTCTCTGCAGGGATTGTAGCTGCAGTGTCTCACCCCCAGTCTGTATGCCAGCCCTGTCCTGAGTCTGGAGGGGACAAGGTGGAGTAGGGGGGAGGGGAAGCTCTCCCATACACTCACTGGGCCTGGGCTAGGACTGGACATGGGGGTCCCCAGAATGCGGCAGAAATTCTCACTCGGCGGGTGGGGTGGGGTGGGGGGTGCTGCGGAGTGGTGGGCTGGGTCGCAAGGGGGTGGAAGAGGGTCTCATCCATGCTGCACCTGGGCTTGGACTAGCAGGTCCCGCCGGCGCAGGGTAGCTGCAAACTTTCCCACACACTCACTTAGGACTGGGCTAGGACTGGCTAGATTGGTTTTAATTCTCATTCCTGTAAAGCCCTTTATACTCATGGCTGATTCTCACGAGTATGCTTCCATTGAAGTACACTATGAAAAGAAAAAGAAAGCAAGTAAGCAAGAAAGAACTTACACATGAGAAATGTCCAAAGAGTATTGCCCATTCCAAGGCTGGTGTAACAAGAAGGCTTTCAGTGCAAGGGAGGCCCTTGGGACAAGGAGATATGGACACCACACAGGCTCTATAAAAGAGAAAAAGATTTTTAAAAAATCAAATTTTATAGTCTATATCTACAAGCTATTTACAGAGAAGCTAGCAGAAAACAATGCATAAATCTGGTGCAACTGGGAGGGTACATTCACTGTGCTCCCTGCCTGGAAAACTCTCTTTGCTCCAGTCTGATCAATACAGTCTCTGTCCCCTTCTTCAAATTTAAATAATCTATGTGGTATAAAACTGCTACTACTTGCATAAAAGAACCAATGCAATGACTCAACAGACACCAATACAATTTATCATTTAAAAATATTACATGTAATTATATTTACCTGTATCTCTTACACCACTTGGTATCTTTGCTTTTCTGAGCCTACTAAACTAACACAGCCCATCAACCTCCAGCTTGTCACTGAAGGGATTAGGGGTCTCTGATCAATGGACTTCCCAGGAATCACGTTCGAAGGTAGTTTCAGAACAAGGGCTATCATCCTAGACCTGGAGTCCTAGCATCCATCTTATGAAGAGGCTGGCTTACTGGGAACACTAACTAAACAAGAGCTTCCTGTTTTCTCAACATGTTCCAAAGCGAAGAGACAGAGGGTCCAAAGGCTCTAATGCTCAGCAACTATGTTCTGACACCTTTATTCCAACAGACCCCTAACCTTCAATCAGGGCCCGAAGGCCCCTATAACTCAGCCTCACCACCCTGTCAGCTCCTGCAGAGCCTTTGTTTCACAATCCTGTGAACAGATAGAGTTACTTAAAATGGCCCAAATCCATCCCCGGTGCTGCTTTCCCTAAGTGACAAACATAGACTTCAAACTATTATACAGTATCTAGTTACTAGGCCTCTCTGGCTACTAAGCACTTGAAAGATGATGAGGACAATGAAGGAATCTAATGTTTATTGTATTTAATATAAATGTAAAAACTGACATTTTATTCAGTTTATTCACCTTATGTTTGGAGCAAGTTGACTACACAGCTATTTTTTTCAACTGGAAACTATAAAATCTAAATGGAATTCAAATATTTTCGCACAAAATCTATCCCCTCAATTCAGAAAACAACTCATTTTATAATAAATGTAAAATATCAGTAACTTTGAATTCTGATTATATACTGAAATGATAAAGTTTTGGATATACTGGCTAAAATGCAATCATTATCAAAATCAGTTTCATCACTTTTTTATTTTCTTAAATATAACTATTAGAAATTTCAGCTGATATATGTGGCTCATATTATAGCTCTAGTAAGTAATGCTGCTTTATAAAACGTCATTGCAAGTAATTCACTAAAAATTAAATCATAAATAAAATGATTAAATTTTCAGCGAACTAGACAGAAGATAGTCAGAAATGTCTCTCTCTGGCGGGGGAGATGGCTCAGCGGAATAAGCACTTCCCTGGCAAGTGCAAGGGCCTGAGTCCAATCCCTGGACTGCCAAAAAGAAAAAAAAAAGAAATGTCTCTTTCTTTGTGGTACTGGGAACTCAACACAGGGCCTTATGTCTGTCACACAGGTGCTGTGTTGCTGCCAAATCCCTGGGCCCAGAAAGGTATTTCTAATACTGTTTTTGTTTTTTTTTTTACATCCAAGAATTTTAGTAATTAAAAAAAAAATCACTTAAAATGTAGTCCATATTCAAAAGTCCTTAGTTATCGATGGGATCTGGTGATCTCCAAAGATGCCAATAGCTATTTTCAGTTCAAAAATCTAGGGTCTAGCCTGCTTAGGCAGACACAGGGGCCAGGGGCTTAATCCCCAGGTGTACCATGCCAGCCCCGCCCCTAGGGCAGCGATTGAGAGTGGATGTGGTGGTGCACACCTATAATCCCTGTGCTTGGGAGGCTAAAACCAGAAAGATCTGTGTAGTGAGACCCTGTAGACCCTGTACTACATACATAAAAAAAAAAAAAAAAAAAAATCTGGGGTCTAGAGCCTGGCTCTGTAGCTCAGTGGCAATGTATGCTGACTATTCAGAAGATAATGGGATCCATTCTGAGCCTTGGAGGATGAGGTGCGAGGGAGTCCAGATCTAGTCCAGGCTCCTTTCTGTATGTGTTCACTAGGAAAAATGCTGTGAGCAGCAACGCTTAAAACTGTGGAGGAAGTTATACTGCAGTCTGATGTCAGCCAATGCACTTTTATGGAAACTTTCTCATACTGGAATATTGCTAAACAAGTTTCACATTTTCGCATTCCTATTAGATGTTGCTAAAAGGAGTTAAGATTTATTCTTATGCCATTTTATGTTCCTGATAAATGAAGCAGCAGACAACAAAAATTCTAGTCTTCTAAAACTGCTGGACTGCCACCCTCTGCCTGGTGGAAAGAAAAGGCTTATCTAAGCTTTTCTAACAAAGAGTATTTTATGTCACTTCCTACTTGTCACTAAGGAAAACTGAAGAAAATATATAAGATACTGATTATCAATGTGTATGTCCTACTGATCATATTAGTATCGCACATCAATAAGCCCAGAATGGAAGATGAATCTTTTTTTCCCAAGGTCATGTCTATTATGTACACAGTGATAAACATGAAGACATCTTTCACTTAAATCCAAATTTACATCACCATCAGTGTTTATTCTTTAACATTTATTAAATGCTACTCTCAGTTTAAAATTGAATCAATCTGCACAATGTATACATAACTTTCATTGACCTTTCTCCATTACCATTTAAAAAAATTTTCCCTGTTCTTGTTGGGGCTATACCACTAGACACTGGGCATTAGAAAAATTTTAAAAGAAAATGCAATTTAAAATCTGGCTGCAAGCTAGATAGTCAAATATTGTATTAAAGCTAGATTAATGTTAGGGACTCCATGTCAGTAGTTACTTTAAGAATAAGTTACCATGTCTTTGGAGCTTTTTAGACTATAATTTTAAATTAAAAGCAAAATAAATGCTTTTCAAACACTTATATTTCCATAAACATTAACTTTTTCTTTTTTTACCTAGAACTAGTAACTAAATTTAAAGAAAGTTTCCCCCTTGAAAGTTCCCCAATTTCCTTAACTTCAGGCTCAAAATCTACTCGCCCTTTCCTGAGAGGTGCTAAAAGCTCTGCACAGGTGGCAAGTGATCCAAGACCAGGTGTGGGATGGAATGCCTGACATCTGGCCTCACCTGGTGGCAGTCAGACTAAGTCTTGCTTCTTCTAAAGTAGGAAGTCCTGGCACCCCACACATTGGCAGGGATAGGGCAGTGACAGAAATCAAAGTACACCACACATAAATCACAGGCACGCAACCGACACCAGCCGCACCTTAGTGGTGCTTGACCATGAACATTCAGAAAATGGTAGGTGTTCAAAGTGTCTGGCATTGTCTCTAGAGGAGCCAAACCACTGACCTGACAAAGCCCCAAATTCCAGTGTGACTCCGTGAATGACTAACGAGTTTCTCAAGAATGAGTTTACAAATGAGAGAATACTGAGTACCAAACATGCCAAGAGCACACATGCGGGAAGTTCTTGCTCTGCCCTAATTAAGATCAGGGCTGATGCCCTCTAAAAGCATCTTCCAAGTTGAACACTGCATTATGTAAGACAAAAGCTGTGCTTTAAATTTGATGAAGGATGCATTCTCTTTTTAAAAAGTCACACATGATGGTATTTTACTACCATACTTTTAATTCTGGTAAAAAATAATCTGTGTTCCATCCCACCACCACCAATGAAATCACAAAACAACCAGGTCACTGAAATCACCAGTTCTAATTTGGCTCGTCATGTAATAAGTCATACGCATCAAAATTCTTGATATTCAGAACATATTTTTCAACCTGACTTTTTCATTGATAAATTGGCTGGAAAAGATATAAGGCTCATTAAAAGACAGAAGCTACATCATGCAACTAGAAGGAACCTGCTCAGAAAAGGGTCTAAAAAAAAGGGCCACTTCTACATCAGTTGGGAATGACTGAAACCTGAAATTACAAAGCATCTCAAATTACTAAACCCTCAAGCTTTAACACATTTGTTATGGGGCCACAATTCCTGTGTCTCCCTGTCAGGAAGCTTGAACCAACAGTGGTACATGCAGGACTGTCCCACTGGGTGGCCTTTTATTAGCTTTAGTAGTAAAAAGATAGATAAAAGTGATAGATCCACTTGTACCACCAATGGCATAAGCTGCACAGTGGAACAGTCATTCATGAACTGAGTTAAGCCAGAGGGAACATGTTATTTCTTAAACTCAGATTTAAAGTAAGACTGAAATGAAAAAGCAGCAGCTCTCCCTCCAGAAGAGAGCAGCTTGTGACAAATGTGGCTTCAGAGCACCCTTTCATGAGAACCCATACCAGTTAACTCCTGTTCATCCATTCTAAAACATGTAGACTTCATAGACATCTCCAGGACCCTGATGCACCCGTCATCAGATGCCAAGATCACTTTATCTGATGTGCACCAGTCCACATCCAAGATCCGAAAGGTCACATTTCTTCCACTTCTTAGACTGCTCACCATCTGAACCTACAAGAATGAATCTTGTCATCATAGTCAGATAGAAAAGGAAGATGTTTATCTATCATTCTGGATTAAATGGTGATGAGAGACAGTGCTCCGGCAAAGGCCTAAAAGAAGTACAGAGGGTCAGGTGTGGTGGGGCACATCTGTAATCCCAGCACTCTGGAGGCTGAGGCAGGAGGATCATAGTGAGATCGAGATCAGCCTGGACTACAAAGTGAGCTTAAGGCCAGCCTGAGCTGCATAGTGAGACCCTGTCTCAAAAAAAAAAAAAAAAAGTACAGAATTGTACTGACTATAAAAACCTGTTTTCCATATGCAAATTGTGTTGTTTCAAAGGTGTCCACTACAACAATAACATTAGAGAACCAATGAATCACCTGTGGAGCTATCACTTTTAGAACAGAAATACAAAAAAATAAAAACTTCTAAAACAAAATAATTTGTTACAAGAAGCTTTATGAACTTATAATTTTCAACAGTTTATTTTTCTTATATGTTTGTAATATACAATGATTACATTCATCATAGAGAACTGGTACACATATATAATACTTCTTAATTCTTTTTATATCTTCTTTTCCTTCCTTCCCTGCCCCTCCCTCCATCTCTTACTCCTATTATATAATTTCATCTCCAGGTCAGGAAAAAGGAAAAAACCCAGTTTCTGTGAGCAATTGCCTCATTTCTGTCTCAGCCTCCCAGGGCTGGGCCTACCTCTTTAGCATCCCAAACTTCAGCACCATCGTTGTACATCGCTATTAGTTTTTGGTTTCCTTTGCCAGGGGCAAAACGAATCTTCCTCACCCAACTTCTATGTGTAGGTATTCCTCTGAGGACAAACAACAGAAACACCAGGATTAGGGAGAACAGAATGCAGTCAGCAGAAATTACGCCTGAACTGTGTCCTCCATCTCTGCCTAGTGCTGCTTCTGACAAGGTCTGATTATGGCACAGCCACTTTACATTCTGGGATAAAGGCCACATCTGACAGGTGTTCCCCTAACATGCACTAGAGTAACATCCCAGGGTTCCTGTACAAGCCACCTGCAGGTAAGAGTCTACTTAAAAGGGTCCAGAACTTGGCTCAAATGCCTTCCTTCGGTGACTGGAAACCCAAAGCTCCAAGCTACAATTGTCCATTTTTACTGGTCTGGATTATAAATCACAAGCCTACAAAATTTTTGTTAGGTAAAAATTTCATTCTTGGATGAACAATCATACCTGGATACTCTGCCTCTCAAATCCCAAAAATTGAGGTTCCCATCCACATCTCCAAGCACTAATGTATCACCTTTCCAAGCAATGCAGGTAATACTACCCATATTTCCCTGGAAAACAACAGCAACAAGAACACACATAAATTTCACTACTGATAAGTCATTAGAACAGGGAAGTATTTGTATTTAATGGTCATGATGAAATAAAAACTATTTAATAAAGCTTAACTATAAAGAGTTTTACTTCGTCATGAATTCCATGGAATTCTAAAATATAGACTTCAAACCCTAACAGTCATTTCAGTTTGATAGACTGAGCTAGGTTATCTGAGCTAGATTTTTTTCAGGAAAAAACACCTTGGAAAAAAGGAAAAAGAGAAGAAAAGGAAAACCTTTTTAGAGAGATATCTTACCCTTCATTGTATAAGGATAAATAAAGCCATTCTAAAGGAAACTCAATTATTTTCAGAACTGCAGTAATTTTTATATCGAAAAAGATGATCCAGAGCATTACTGGTATCCTTTGGAAGCTTTTGGTATAATGAAAGGTGAAAAAATGGGATTAAAAGATGATAGTTTTGTTATACAGGAAGCTCTGCAAAGAAGTTACATATAGAAACAGTCTGTAAGAATCCGACAGCCGTGTTTAAATAAATGTGTGTAATAAATCCAAAATGGAAGAAGAGAATTCACATCCCCAGCAAATAGACAGAGGTACTGAGACCTCAACAGCCCAGGCCCAGGCATCACATGGCCAGGCCTTGAACCTCAGTGTTACCACCTAGACTGATATGGAGTTTGGGGAACATTTATTTATTTATTTATTTATTTATTTATTTTTTGTATTTTAGGGAAGGTTGTTCAGGGTCAGGGTCTCACTACTAGACTGGACTTGGGTGTTCAGGGTCTCACTACTAGACTGGACTTGTGGTGATCCACCTGTTTACAGCCTCCAGAGAGCTGGGATCACAGGCATGCACCACCACGGCCAGTCTCAATTGCTGTCTCAGCATGCCCTGGGGGTGGGGCCGGCACAGCAGGCAGGCCGGGGGATTGAACCCCAGCCCTTGCACCTGTTTGCAGGCACTTTAATCCACTGAGCTATTTGGCCGGCCCTGGGGGACATTTATTTTGCCTTTCCGTGTCTTACATTTATCATTAATAGAGTAAGATAAGCTTATGAAACTTGAGTTGGAATTAGTGTTAAGAAGCTGATAACGATACAGCCTGTAAAGCAATGCCTGCCACACTACAAAAACTCAATACAATGTTAGCTAATAATTAATATCACTACTCAATTACTCTATTTATTATAAAAATTCTTTTTTCACTTATGGTATAATATAAAAATTTACATGGCATCCATGGTCAGGAGTAAGAAAGCATCAGTGTTTGTCAAACTGACCATTAACAGACTAAGACCCATACCAAATACTGAAAAAGAAGACTAAATTTAAAAAATCAATATTATTAGTGAGTTTAATGTAAAAATATTTAACTATACTAAGTAAATGAAATTCTGTGTAACATGAAGCATGCTCTCAGATTTTATTTTTATTTTCCTGACTTTACTAAAAGAATATTTAAGAATTTTCTCTTCAAGTTACTTTTCATCTTTGAATATGTTCAAATTTTAAATCCTGCCTTCTAACTTTAAAAAGTTAGAGTATTAATTTATTAGTCTAGAAATCATTGTTACCAGCTTAGAACATTAATACAACTGCACAGATAAGCAGACTTTCCACATAAGGGCGCTGACAGGATACAACCATGCGGAGACACCGAGGACCTCTGAGGATGTGGTACACAAATACCGTTGTTGTTAAATAATCACGAGAGAACCAAAGCAAAACTAAGCTACAACAGAGCATTTGAGTCATGTGCAGAGCATCTGTTCCCTACCTTTAAGACAAGACATTCAAAAGGACAGAAGGAAGGCCGGCACAAGTCAGAAACACACTCTCACATACACATAATTTCTAACACACTCTTCACATACACATAATTTAAAATACAAAAATTTCTTCTTTCTTTTACCATTTCTATGTACTCTGCAACTCTGGGGCCAAAAATCCAGAGAGAAACCATCAACTCAAAACAGATAAGTTTAATATTTTACATTTGGGAGAAGAGTCAGATAAATATTTGCTTAAAAGAAACAAATCTTCTACCTACATTTTACATGACAGTCACTGGAACACATTAATTTCCCAAAAGTAGTATGCTCTAAAATATTGGAGGCCTGGATCCTCATTAAGCTGGTCATTCCTTCAGAACTTTATCTAGTAAGGAAAAATAAATACCTGGCAGAAGAGACCTGGTACATGCTGACTCAGACCTCCACAAAAGGAGACAGAATTTTAAAAGCTGTGTGGTACATTACATCCTGAAAAGAGCATTTATGAAAAGGAACACTAATATGTCTAATGTTAAGAAATTTAAAACTTATTTGGGGGTAGCTGGGGAAACCGGCATTGCAAAAACTACTGGCTCAGATAATTTCCCCTTTAATTTTAAGTGTGCAGTAATGAAAAAACAGAGATTGGGATACTTGGCGTGGAACTGAAAGAGCTGATGCAAGGATCTTTTGGGGGGCTTTAAAAGAGGAAGCACAACCCTTGTACCACATTTCTTGTTGTATAGGTCTTGCTTTATCTTGGTCTTAACCATCCAGCAGAAAGGTATAAAGGCAAGGTATGTAAAGTGGAGCCATATTGATATGCTGAGCCACATGTGAAGGGGTCTAGTCAACAACTTCTGCAGAAAATCCCCTACTATTGTGGACTACTGGACTGTGTTGAATTGTTTTGCTGAGTTCGAGCACCTATAATATTTAGATACCAATAGAATACCCATCTCTGACAGGACAGAACTGGTGAGGGGGGATGCAGAGGAAGGACAATTTTATATTTGTATATACAGAATAGTTAGGATGGATGTACAGCTGCTTTCACTTGGTTCGGTGAGAGGATTTGTTGTGGTACTGTTTGGGCGGGATGTCCTGGCTGCTTCTTGTGCTGTGGATGACAGCTGAGAAGATAACAATGTGCAATGTATTGATTATTGAAAATGTCCCATTAATCAGCTTGGAAAGTGTCTCATTGATATTTGTTTCTCAATAAAATAAAATAGGAAGCACAGAAAGAGTGCTACGAAGCAAGCCAACATTCAAGAATTCAGTGTTATACTGACTTTGTATGTCTCAACTCAAAAGACAGTTTTTCTTTCTACATGTTTAAATTTATTTCTAATTATAACTACCAAATATCAAACTTTTACTTTTGTATTATTTTCATCCTGTAAAAATTCTGAAAATGCCGGGTAATATTAGACACTACTATCTCAGATGTGATTTATTTATATAATAATAACAGTTAAATTACAACTTAAAAAGTTCTCTCACTTGTTACCTCCAAAATTTTGGGGTGCAATGCCCCCAATTTTTCCATAGTTATTAACATAGAAGATTCACTAGCCAGTTTCTAAGAGAACCTCATTAATTCTTCCTTTTTGGTATTCATAGCCCCTGGTAGACCTGTCACAAAGAGTAGAGCTGGTGTAAAAACCAACATTATACTGAAGAAACGATGGAGTGTGAGTTCTGTAACTAGGTTATTTAAAGGACACCACAGCTGTTTTCTGGCTGTCTTCTGAAGCTCCCCGCCCAGCCCTGAAAAGACTCAAGCAGTATAGTGGAAGGGGCCCAGGCCTCTCCCCATGGTCAGCACTGACTCAGAACAGCCATGTGAATGGCCTTATCTGAAGCACACCGGCCTGCTCTTTTAACTTAATGAATCCTGCAGCCAGCACCTGAGCCTCATGCGGGGGTGATGGGGTGGGGTGGGGGGTGACCTTGCGTTGGCATTCCCTTTTAGATGGCAATTCTAAATAAATACTATCCTCTCACACTTCCTTTTAACCATTTTCTTAATCCACTTATTAAATGGATTGGTAAATTGCAAATTGTTAACTATAAAAACTTAGCTAAGAGATTCCATGTAGTAAATATTAATACTCTTATATCTAAACCTAATTCTACTATCCTAAAATAATACCATATTATAAGTCAAATCTTTCAGGAAAATACTTGAAATGGAAAAACGATAGATACTGAAGTCAGAGAACCTAAGTTTCAAACACAGTTCCATCATATAACTGAGCTAGGTAACCTTGAGAATATATTCTCCTTTGTGAATTATTATGGGGATAAACACAAGTAGTACACAGAAAATATTTAATTAAAATTATCACAAACTATTCTCTAGCAGTAAGGGGCAAGTTTATTTATAGATCATGTCCCTTTCAGTAGTAAAGCTTATTCATACTAAACTCTTCTGAAGAAGCTTTCTAACTTAATTATATCTTCACTGGGTACAGATGAACAAAATGATTCTCCTGTCTCAGCCTCCCCAGTGCTGGGATTACAGGGGTGTGCAACCACTCCCAGTTTTGGGGTCAGCACAACAGTACAAGGGTTTGAACTCAGGTCCTTGTTCTTCTAGGCAGGCATGTAGACTGTAGAGCTATCTCCCTAGCCCAGAACAAAATTCTTGATAAGAGAGATGTATCCAAGGGTTAGACTTACATCTGGTGGGATCCGAGCACTATCTTTCACAGAGTTTCCTTCAACGGTGAGGTGAAAAACTTGGCCATCATTATCTGTAAATACAAAATGCTCACGTGCAGAGATGTTCTGACTGAGTTCAGATTTACTTTCTGCCTCCTGCAATAAGCTTTGAGACAGAGAAAAATTAGATAAAGCTGTTTCTTTCCTGTAGAGTGATACCCATAACTAAGTACCGAGCCATAGTAGAGGTGCATTAGGACCAAGACCATTTCAGAAAGTCTGAAACGAATCTTGCCCAGATAATAACATAAAAATATAAATCACTCCCAAATAATCATAAATGGGAGGAAGTCTACCTGGTATTGGGAGAGTTGGATGCAAATTTAACACAAACTGTTTTTGCTGCAGAGCTCAACACTGAGGGGAATCATATGAGCTACTATTGGCTGAAGTTTTTTGTTTGTAATGGTATGGCTGGGGACAGTTCATAAACTTAGAATTCTCACTACATTTTCTCTGGTGTACACAAGTGATATGACCTCTGTTTACCCTATGTCCAGTTGTGTTTCAGAGCTGAAGGAAATGGGACAGAAAGACATTTCCCCAGTCACATCTACTGATGGGTGCTGATGAACTGACAATATTGCATAGGTTACTGAGTACACCATGCAATACCATCCACTTCAATAATATGCGTATGTATGGAAACATGATACAAAGCACTGTATGTTCAAAAGCAGTGTCCACCTTCTTAAAGAACATGTCTCTGGGTGGCACTTATCATATTCTCAACTATGATACTGGCAGGGACAGCAAGCTCTACCTGATCACAGATGACTCAACAATACTCAGCTCTGTGTCAGAAACAACAGTCTGGCGGGCCATGGCCTCACGGGTAGCAAGCTGTTTCTTTCTCAGGCTCTTCAAGTTGTGAGATGGTGACCACTCCTGGGAAGCAAAAACAGACAGAACTAGAAGTACTAAGTTGCCCTCTTTCTTTTCCTTCCAGAAAGACAGATTTCCCATTGCTTGGCACCATTATTATTGCACATGAATTTTTAAGACTTTTCCACTTATAGAAAGGCTGAATGAATGCACTTTAGATTAGAGCTCACGGTTAAAAAAAAAAAATGGATAACTTACAAGAGGAAGTTTTGATTCTTTCTTTTTACAAACTGAAATGAATCAATTCATTTACTACATCTCCTATTCCCCACCTCCTTGTCTAGCAAGAACTGGACCTATATGGAAAAGAGAATTATGTTCCTCTAATTAGGAAGTCTTATCAGGGATAGATCCATCCCAAACCACTTGTTTTATTTATTATCTTGTATTTGTACCAACTGCAATGTATTTAATCCACTGTTAAGTTAATAATCCAATTTTTATATGCAGAAGTTTTTAACATGTAGTTATGTTTATAACATGTATTTTTAACTTACGTCAGTAGTACTAGGCTTATGCATCAGCCTCTTTCATCTTATTGGTCACTGCTTTTAATGAATTTAATGTAATTTAAGTAATGTATTCTCCCTGTTGTTTGTGCATGGTATATAACACTCCACACTTATATTCACCAAATTTCCATCTGTTCTCTCAGCAAGACACCCAGGTTCCTCTGAATGCAATCATGACAAATGACACTAAAGTGAAAATCCTTGCAAACATTCCTTTGTGGCCTAGAGCTCAGCAGTTGCAACACAGAAAATCTCTGTGTTTGCCTAAATCCTCAGTACACAAGGATCCCCTGCCTTATAGTGTACCACTCTTCATGCTGCCTTCCCAACTTTTGTTAGTCTAAAAGACACAGGAATATTTTACTTTGTACAACTCTAAAAACTGATGAGTTAAACATGTTTATTCTCTGGTTAGCCTTTTAGGCTTCTCTGCTAGTCACTAATGCTCACATTGTTTATTTTCCCATTGCTGATCCTGTTTTTTTCACTGTTATTTTGAAGGAGTGCCTTGTTATTTTTGAGAAATCGGAAGATTTTCATGACAATAGCACCTTTTACCAAACATAAATCATTAGCTGTGATATAACCAAGTTGTTTTTTTATTTTCTTTTTTCTTGCTTTGAGCTTCTGATATCCATTTTTGCTCCCGGGTCACAAAAATATTCTCTTAAATTATATTATTAAGTAATGTTAAATATTATAGCTTTCTTTTTCATATTTAGGTCTTTAACCTTGTGGAAAATTTGTAAGTGGTATTAGTTAGATACAGCATTTTTTTTCCATAAGGTGAGACAATTTCCCCAATATTGTCTTTTAAACAGTCTGTTCCACTGATTTGTGTGTTGCTTTCCTGAACTCTTTTTTATATTAGTTCACTTTCTTCTTTTGTGTCAGTACAGCACTAATGTTATTTCCATAGTCTGTAACATGTCCTAATGTCAGTAGTGTAAGCCAGCTCCCATCTCACCTGTGCCTACCACCTTTGTTCAAGAGTGACTTTGCTATATAGGACTTTTATTATTTTATAGTCATTTTAGAATGTGTTTATGATGCTTCTCAAAGTATCCAAAAAAATTATAGCAAGAATTGCAGTAATATTAAATTGGCCATCCCAAGACTTATGTCTCCATTTATTTAGATCATTTTCTTTGAATATATATAAAAAATATGGCATGTTAATTATGAAAAAACAACATTTAGCACATATATACTAGGACAATATAGTTCTCAAACTATAACTTACCAAAGCAGTTATTGTAGGAAAGTTTTTGGACATTTCTCTAAGAAGGGTACAAGTCCTAACATCCCATAATTCCAGGGGTTTATCTTTGAAAACAACTGCCAAATACTGTCTAAAATAAACAAAAATAGCAACAAATAAAATTATTAAGCCCATTTTTTTGTAAAACATCAAAAATTAGTACAGATAAAAGGCTCAGGAAATTGAAAAAAAAATCAGATGACATATTCCAAGCACAGACAATTTAGGCTACCATTCAGGTGCCACAATTAATAGTCCTAAGAATGTAAAGCTCTCAGATAACTTGAAAGCATGTACAATCTCAAATCTGACAAGGAGACTAGTCAGAAGAGTGGCCTAGACTCCAATTCTGGGGCCACAACTCACTTTTACCCTCCAGAGCCTCCATTTCTCCTATCTGACATGGGAACATTACCATCTATACCAATGAATTGATATGCACATTCTGGTAAATAAAAAGTAGGCAAACTGCCTATCATCCTACCACAGCAAGTGCGCAACAGATGCTGCTTTACCTGCTCTCTGTTGAGGCTAGAAGTACATAATGAATCAGTAAGTGCAATTCAAGAAAACTGAGTTGTTGAGCACTGATACCTCAGTAACCCATGAGAAACTAAAGCTATATTAATGAACAATAGCTATCACTGAAGAAATACAATAGAGTGGGAAGATCCAGGAGTCAATGTATTACAGGACTTCACGCACTTCATTTAAGATCATGTCTGCCACTTCATAATCAAGGGACTTCAGAAAAACTGTAATCTTTTTGAGTTTTGCTCTGTGTTTAAAATGCTATTAATACCAGCTGTAACTTCCTCACAAAATGCCAGATTAATTTAAAGGATAAGAACAGTGTACACCATGAGAGATTACACAAGGCTAATATGCTATACTGTGTATTATATATCATATAGTCACCTACTTATAAGCAAAATATGTTAAGATTCACCGTGAAAAAGAAAATTGATTTGGACAATAGGGAAATGAAAGTCCAGATAGAATTACAAATGTGACAAATGACAAAAGACATGAAAGGACACAATGTAGGGAGGACTACGCTTCCTTAAATGCACAGATTGTGGGAGCAATTATATAAAAGGTTAAAATACAAATTTTGGATCACATTATAAAGACCTTAAATGCTATGCTAAGTTATGTAGGGATTTATTCAACAGAAAACAATGAATCATAATAAAAGTTTTGAAGTAGGGAATCCTGAAATTAGTTACTTTAGATATGTGAGTTCAGCAGGGATGTAAAGAGTTGGGCCTGAGAACAAGAGAATGGAGTTCCGTTAGATTTCAGAGAACTCTTCCTTATGTGACTTACAACAAATGAAATTAATAAACTAGTAAACATTGTTAATTCTTTTAAAATAAAAGCAGAAAAAATACAAGTAAAAGATGATTTAAATATAAGTCATACTGATAGTTACATTATATCAATAATTTAAATACTTCATTGAGAAGTGTGAGATGATGAGACTAAAGAAAAACAAGCACTAATTATATGCGGCCTATAAGAAATTAACTTCATAAAGATAGAAGATTACAACTATAAAGATGGGAAAATATATGTAAGTACTGGCTATAAGAAAGCTGAAATGACTATACAAATATCAGACAAATCAGATTATTTCCAAAGAACAGTAACAAAGATGATGTTTCACAATAGTAAAGAAATCAAAGAATTGAAAGGATATAACAATTCTAAAAATGTACATATCTACAAATAAGAGCTTCAAAATACCTAAAAGAACTTGAGTTTTTCAAAAGCAAGTATATAAATTAATAACCAAAGTTATATTAAAACACTCATCTCTCAGTAATTCATAGAATACACACATAGAAAATCAGTATGCATACAGAACACTCCAATAACAGCATCAACCAACCAGAAATGACAGTTATGGAATATTCTAATCAACACCAGCACAATACACTACCTGTGAAGAGCACAAGAACTTTCGCTAAGTATTCTGGGCCAAAAAAGTTTACATGATATTTACAAAGACTGAAATAATGTAAAACATGTTCTCTAGTCACAACAAAAACTAGAAAATAATAGAAAGATATATCAGGAAAACATTAAATAGTTAAAAAAACAAAACAAAACAAAACAAACCTACAAATACTCTGCCATGTGCCTCTGCCTTGGAGCCAGCTGATTATGGACTGAAACTTCTACAAACTGGGAGCCAAAATACACCTTTCTTCTTTTAACTTTGGGTGTTGCGTATTTTGTCTCAGCAACAGAGAACCAATAATGAGACACTGAGACTTACAAATATACTGAAAGCTATAAAATATTGCTGATACAAATGAAAGAAGACTTAAGTGGATATAGCTTGTTTGTGAACTGCAAAATCTGTGAAGAAGATGTCAATTCTTTTCAACTGACATATGGA